TATTTATTTATATATATATATATATAAAAACCCATAATTTTGCCAATTTGATTAGCTCTGATAAATACACCAGCGTAAACCCAGAAGCTAAATCACAGATGATTTATACCTTCTTTATCCGTGAGCTTTTCTCCCAAGCCTGTGAGTTTGGCCCGTAGCTCAGAAGCCAGAATGTAGCCCTTCTTATGTTTGTCCGTCATGCACATAGCCTCTAGAATTTCAGTCTTAGGATCTTCCTGTTGCATCTGTCTGTGCATCATGGTTAGAAATGTAGAAAAATCCAACTCCCCTGTCTTAGCTGTGGTGAGGATACAATAAAAGATGTATCAACTACTAACATTAAAGAAAGCAAAGAATTCTAATTCAGGATTAACTACCAAGCATTTTTCTTCAGATTATGCCTGATACCAATTCCTGAACATGCTCAGCATAATGAGACCACTAGTCCAATTGTATATCGGTTAGCCACAGGTGACACTAAGAAGCTATGGAAGAGCAGACAAGGAAGACATATTCCCAATTCAATGTAATGTGTTAATCATGAGATTGTTACCTATTTTGTGGATTTGCAGATGTCTGTCCACTTCATTATATGTGGGACTTGTACCCAGACAGCGCATGACCGTAATAAGGTCTTTGGCTTCAATCTTCCCCTTTCGCTTCTTGTCATAAAGCGAGAAACATTCTTTGAACTCTGCATGAGAACAAGGAAACTACAGTATAAACCAATGCCACAAATATTCTTAAATGTTCTGTACATTTCATTTTTTTAAAAGAACAATTTAGTTTATTTTACTATATTCATAGATCGCAAAGGACAAACACATTACTTTTGTGTAACACAGCTCACCATCAATCTGAGTTTGTGATAAGAATTTTGCCTGAAAAGAGAGTTTTATAAAACAGCATAGATGAAAATTGTACCATGAATCATTGAAAAATGAAATTTAGAGGAGAAAAATGTATTTATGATTTAACGCCATGTCAGTAGCAATGACTATATTCATGGCAAAAACAGTTCAACTGCATCATTCAAACAATTCATTGAGCATCCTTTCAATATGTTTACAATAATTTTACAATTTTGTCTTAAAAATTCAACATGCAAAAAAATAAATAAAAATATAAACCAAAATGACAGTAACAACAAAAATAGCAATAACAATTAGTCTTTAAACTTACTATATGACAAAAATTCTAAAATAATTTCGAGAAACCTTTTAAAAAATGTCCAATTATATATTTTCTGAATAAAAACATTTGTCTAGTTTTAGGAGAAAAAGAATATATCAAACTCACCATGTCTACACACGTTTTGGGTGTTCAGGGAAAGAGTCACTCCCTCTGGATTACCTGTAGGAACTAAAGTCCACTGCACTGTTGACGTAAATGATAGCCTCGTTGTCATAGGAACATTGATATAGGATTCCACCTATCACATTGTACTGTCCACTGCAGTAGGTGCAGCTCATGATCACACTTAATGACTCACAACATATATAGGGAGTACAAACTTTATTCAGAAAAAACAAGGACATAAAAGCAACATTTTTACTGTAAGCCACAATAAATAAATGACTTTATTATTCAGTACACCAAAATTACAAACATGGCACTGTATAGTTTGCCTTGTGAAGATTCAAACTTAAAACCAACTCCTTAAAGGGGATAGTTCATCCAAAAATGAAAATGCTATCATCATTTACTCACACTCAACTTAAACCTGTTTAAGTTTCTTTCTTCTGTTGAACACAAAAGAAGACATTTTGAGAATGTTGGTAAGCAAACGTTTTTTTCCCCTTTCCCTATACTGTGGAAGTCAATGGCTACCGTCAACTGTTTGGTTACCAACATTCTTCAAATGATCTTCTTTTGTGGTCAACAAGAAATTCATACAGGTTTGGAATAAATTGAGGGTGAGTAAATGATGACCGAATTTTCATTTTTGGGTAAGCAATCCCTTTAAGTAACACTGGAACTTAAGTCTATTAAACTTGGTGAAAGCATTTTATATATACATACATATATATATATACACATACATATACATGTATGTATATATAAATATATATATATACAGTGGGTACGGAAAGTATTCAGACCCCCTTCAATTTTTCACTCTTTGTTATATTGCAGCCATTTGCTAAAATCATTTAAGTTAATTTTTTTTCCTCATTAATGTACACACAGCACCCCACATTGACAGAAAAACACAGAATCGTTGACATTTTTGCAGATTTATTAAAAAAGAAAAACTGAAATATCACATGGTCCTAAGTATTCAGACCCTTTGCTCAGTATTTAGTAGAAGCACCCTTTTGATCTAATACAGCCATGAGTCTTTTTGGGAAAGATGCAACAAGTTTTTCACACCTGGATTTGGGGATCCTCTGCCATTCCTCCTTGCAGATCCTCTCCAGTTATATATATATATATACACACACACACATGTATATATGTATTTATATATATATATATATTTTACTGGAGAAATGTCAATGAAATTTAGTTCTGATTTTCTATTAGTATTTAACTGCCTTTGATGTGTAAGGTATAGAAGGACCAAGGCTCTGGAACATAGATGATACCGGGATACTTTTTGCGCAAAACTTTATCATTCCACAGATATGCGACCCAGACCAGAACTAATCCCAGGGTAATGATGAAGTTATAGAAGAGGAAACAGCCATTGCTGTCTAACACGAAGCCCATCCGTCTCTGGCGCATCACAGTGGCAACCATGGCAAAAAAGGTGAAGACATACAGGACAAAGATCTGCCCCTCAGTAATCAGATACCTGAAGAAATAAACCACATTAATGTCTGGACAACATGAACGTTTAATATCTAAAGCCTAATGTATTGTTGGCAAATTTTTTCATTAAATATTCAGTTTTACTTGTAAATACATTACAAAAATAAAATGGCTTCACAAATTTCACAGTGACTTGAAATTCTACATCTCAAAAAAGGCATGCAATTGACTTGAATGAACAATTCACTTACCAATAGTACACTGCACTGGGGCCAAGTAGCAGCCAGCCTGAGTAAGGCATCTTCTCATCTTTAACTTGTGTAAAGCAGCCAGTGAAATACAAGAAGAGGATGAGGAAGAAAGGGACATACCTATAATGATAACAGAATGGTGTGGGGGTAAACTTGTAAATTATAGCACAATTACAGATGAAATATGAGTATGGAAAGTACACTTACCACATGAAATGCCCTAAGTGTTCATCATAGTAATACAGAAGCTCAAAGGAATCAATCTGGAAACCACATAAAGGATTTGTTACTATTATCATTTAAAAAAAAAAAAAGTATTCAAAAAGAGCACATAAATTGGTTGATCTGTACATTTAACTACTGTACCAGTGAGGCAGGCTTCAGATCTTTGATAATGGGGTTTTCTCTGACAGAAAGGTGAAGCTGGTATCCACTGAGGATGAGACGATGGTTAATAGAGTCTCCTACCAGGTGTATGCTAGCTCCCATGACAAAGGTGATGATGCAGAGGTAAACAGCAGAGCGAGGAAGGGCTGTGGGACTCCGCTCAATCAGCTACAAAACGTTAAAGACATGTTTAGATCAAAACAATGTACTATTGCAATGCTCTTCTAGACTTCGATTATGTCCGATCAAAACTCTACAATGATTCGGTAACGCAGCAGCACAGCACGTCTTCAACAAGCCCAAAGGGGCCAAGGCACAACTCTCTTTATCTCCCAGCACTGGTTACCGGTTGAGGCTCACATCAAGTTCAAGTAGGGCTGGACAATATGGCCAAAACGGATATCACGATATATTTCTTAATTTCGGTCGATACGATATAATTCCGATTATCGATATGAACACTATCTGAAAGACATTAATGCTTGCACACAGAACAGCTACGGGCTCTGCACCCTTCTACTTCCACTCGCTCCTTCTACATCCCCTCTAGAAGCCTGAAGTTGGTAAGTCAGCGACGCTTTGTGGTACCATCATGGAGAAGCAAAACAAACAAACAAAAAAAACTTTCCAGAAAATGTTCATTCACTGTTCCTTGCTGGTGGAATGATTTCCCCACCATCATCCGGAATGCGGAGCACTTAAAGGGACAGTTCACCCAAAAACGAAAATTACCCCATGATTTACTCACCCTCAAGCCATCCTAGGTGTATATGACTTTCTTCTTTCAAACAAAAAGTGTGTCCATCCATCATAAAAAGTGCTCCACATGGAGAAAAATATCCATATTAAAAACTTTATAAACCGTAATCTCTAGCTTGCATTACCCGTCGTATGCGCGTTCACGAAAGAGTGACGTTCCAGCAGATGATGTAGGTGTAACATAGCGCAAGTATGGTTTATAAAGTTTTAAATATGGATATTTTTCTTACACAAATGCTTCGCTTCAGACTTTATTAACCCCCCGGAGCCATGTGGGGCACTTTTTATGATGGATGGTCACACTTTTTTGTGGGCTTCAAAATCTCGACCCACATTCACTGCTATTATAAAGCTTGGAAGAGCCAGGACATTTTTTAATATAACTCTGATTGGATTCATCTGAGAGAAGAAAGCCATATACACCTAGGATGGGCTTGAGGGTGAGTAAATCATGGGGTAATTTTCATTTTTGGGTAAACTATCCCTTTAACTACATCCTACTTTAAAAACAAAAATCTATGCTTTCACTTTCCCTTAATCACTCCCTGTTCTAGCTTGTACTGAAACTGTATGTTATGAGCATTACTTGTGTTTATTTGTCTTTTGTTGAATCACTTGTATTCCTCATTTATAAGTCACGTTGGATAAATGAATCGTCTGCTAAATTAATAAATGTCTACTTTTGTATCTCAAACAAAAGCACTCAAATATATATATATATATATATAGGCTAAGGGTTAGAGGAAAGAAACATCCTATAAGAACTGCACATTAAGGTCCACTGTGTGTGCGTGTGTGAATATATCCTTTTGTTAATATTTCAAGTGTATAAGAAAGTGTGTACCTTCAGTAATAAGAACGGTGTGATGACATTATATGCCATGTGAAAATAATCTCCAACACTGGGTTTATTTAGAGGAAACCATTCCAGGGGCATTATGATCTAAATTAAAAATATACAAAAAAATGTTAATGGTATCAAAGAAGAAAAAAATACATTAATGCATAAATATCACAGCTTGGTTCAACCTGTACCATAGCAATTGGCCTCCCAAAGTCCAATATCCAGTTCTGCACAGTGAAACAGAGCCAGAGGTCTGTGTGAAACTGGGACTGTGCTGCAGCTGTAGAAACTGTTTTCTCACTCCCAGCCCTGCTTTAAAACAAATTACAGCATGTTCATTATAAATTCTAGCATTAATAAAAAAAAAAATAATCGCATGCCATGCTTTTCAGCTGCCAGATTAATAAAATGTTTCTCAGTACAGTAAATAACCGGACAACCCTGTGGTTTGTTCAGGTAACACTGCACCATCAAATGGTGATATTAGATAACATTGCAGCATTAAAATATGAAAGGCTACACTGTAACATTAGGCTGTAGTTAACGTCGGTGATAATAACACACAATTCTCGCAGAGCTCCAAAAATGACCAAACCTCAAAAATGCCGGTGTCAAAGCTGCAGACTGTGGTCTTCTCCGCATGGTTAATGGATTAGCTCTTATAGTAATTTCAGGACTTTGTATTGATCAACGCTGCTATACTTTCGTAGCCAAGCATTCATTCAGTCAGTCAGTCACATGCCAGATCCTACACCGAAGCTGTAAAAGTTTAAATGCATAATACGTTTCGTATATATCTTAATATACGACTTATATTGACGATTTACATCTACTTCAGTTCCAGTTCACTGCATACACGGAGTCAAACAATTTCTTAAGACGTTGTTTTTGTTTGTTTGAATCACGTGACCGGTTCAGATCGGTTTTTCTTCAGTGATGGCTGCAGCACAAAATATAGGACTCTTAGGACTCTACTGCCATCTGCCGGACTTCAATAATACTGTCCATTCAGTCTGTAAAATACTCCTTGTATAAATTCGGAAAAGCGTGCTATTTTACTATTTCTGCAATAAATTTGTATCTTTATATGGCAGAAGTAGTGCTATTCTGAAAGCAGCCCTCGACAATGACAGTACACATTTCACTCATCTTTATTTGCTTCTTTCCCATGGATGTGTGGGCAATGGGCATGTATATCCATACTGTATATGGACATGCCTTTTATATGACACAAGACTGTCTGTTTGCAAACTATCTATATTTTCAATAAACAGCATCAGCTAAAACGATAATACTTCTAATAATGATGCCAGTACCACCACTAAAGGTACAAAACATTGAGCGAATATGTGATTGAATAGATTGGCAAGTTACAGCATCTAATAAAAATATGCAATTTCCCTTACATTCTCACACAATCAAACGAGTATATATCGTCATATACCGGTTTAGACATGTCAGCTACATCTTGTTTACATCTTGTGTTATTTTTTGACTGAATATTTAAAATAATTTTAATTTAACCACCATTACTTATAAAAAATGAGTTGTTAGACATTTATAGCGATTATGGCGTCAAATATATCAGTCAAAGGTGTGCACTTGTCACTAAGGCACTTTTATTTTGAAGGCAGAAGACAATAACAGTCCTAAATTTTGCAACAATATTGGGGAAGATATTGAAATTAATGAAGTATGGAGTATGATAAGAAAAATGGGAGGGAAGCAAAGAAATAGCAGCATACCTGTATTAGCATATAAAGAAAGACTTGTGATATCAGACAGTGGAAAAGCGGAGGCGCTAGCAGAAACATTTGTTAAAGTGCACAGTAACTCAAATTTGTCAGAAGAAAGGAGGAGGTATAGGGAGTATAATGTGAGTAAGAACCCTCAATTACTGGAGGAAAAAGGACCATCTGGATGTACTTTAGTTTACTCTGTATGAGCTGAAGAAAGCTCTTGCAGGGGTTAAACAAACTTCACCAGGAAGAGATGATATTTGCTATGAGATGGTAAAACATCTATCAGAGACATCACTAAATATAATTTTAAGCCTTTTTAACAAGGTGTGGGAATCAGGGAAGTTACCAGCTGATTGGAAGCATGGTATCATTGTGCCAATTGCAAAGCCAGGCAAGGATCATACACAACCAAATAACTACAGGCCCATAGCATTAACATCGAATCTTTGTAAACTGATGGAACGTATGGTAATGAGCAGATTGGTGCATATCATTGAGAAGAAAAACCTTTTCTCCCCATACCAAAGTGGTTTCCGGAAAGGGCGAAGCACAATGGACTCTGTGCTTTGTTTGGAAGCAGAAATAAGAAAGGCACAAGTAAACAAGGAAGTGTTAGTAGGAGTTTTTTTCGATGTTGAAAAAGCATACGACATGATGTGGAAAGAGGGACTTTTAATAAAATTAGAAAGAATGGAAATAAAAGGAAGAATGTATAATTGGATCAAGAATTTCTTGTTTAAAAGAACTATACAAGTTAGAGTGGGTTCTGCATTATCTCAGATTTATCCAGTAGAGAATGGAACACCTCAAGGAAGTGTTAGCAGTCCTGTTCTGTTTAATCTAATGATTGATGATATATTTACACAGATAGACATGGGGATAGGAAGGTCCTTGTATGCAGATGACGGTGCGCTGTGGAAAAGAGGGCGCAATATGGGGCATGTGGAGAAGTGTATGCAGAATGCTGTTAAAAAAGTAGAGAATTGGGCTAGTGAATGGGGTTTCTGTTTCTCTGTAGCAAAAACTCAGGTGATCTGTTTTACAAAAAGGAAAATTAATCCAATTATGAATATTAAAATGTATGGTCAAAAATTGGAGCAGGTGTCAGTAATTAGATTTCTGGGAATGTGGATGGATTCAAAACTGGATTTTAGAATTCATATTCAGAAAATAGTAGACAAAGGTAAAAAAGCAATAAATGTAATGCGGTGCTTGGCAGGTGTTGAATGGGGGGCATGTCGTCAGTCTCTTAAAAGAATATACTGTGCACTGATAAGAGCAAATATTGATTATGGCAGTATGGTGTACAGTTCGGCATCTAAAACACAACTTTTAAAGATCGAGGCAATTCAATCACAAGCACTGCGAATATGTTGTGGAGCAATAAGATCGTCTCCAATAGCAGCAGTACAAGTAGAGATGGATGAAATGCCTCAGGAAATTAGAAGGCTCAAGTTAAAGATGAGATACTGGATTAATATAAAAGGACACTTAGATAGTCATCCAGTTAAGAAAGTTCTGAAGGATTGCTGGGAATACGAGTATAAAAAACTATCAAGCTTTGGATGGACTGCCAATGAGGAGGCACAGAATATGGGAATTAGTGACATCAATATTGCTCCTTCTGTGGCAACTTCAGCAATTCCTCCTTGGCTTTTCCCTATGCCTGTAGTTGACATTCAGCTATATGAAGAAAAACATAACCAGGAAAGAAGTATGCTAACAAATATAGCAGTGCAGCAATACATTGAACAAACTTATTATAGTATATTGCAAATATACACGGATGGCTCTAAAGATCCTGAGTCTGGAATAACAGCAGCAGCAGTCTACATACCCCAATTCAAAGTCAAAATTTCAAAAAGAATTTCAGATCACATATCTGTTTATACGACAGAGACAATAGCAATATTCCTAGCTCTTCAGTGGATAGAAGAAGTACAGCCAATAAGGTCAGTAATTTGTACAGACTCCCTTTCAGTTTTAAATAGCTTGCTAAGTGGAATTTCAACAGCAAGGCAAGATATCATTTTTGAAGTGATGCAGAGTCTATTTAGAATAAGACAATCTGGTCTTATGGTAAATTTCCTTTGGGTACCATCACATATGGGTGTGGAAGGAAATGAGGAGGCAGACCATCTGGCTAAACAGGCTCTGAGACATGCACAAATTGACATTAAAGTGTCAATGAGTAAAGCAGAAGTAAAAGGGTTAATTGCAAATGAAATAAGAAAGAAATGGCAGAAGGAGTGGGATAGTGGAACAAAAGGTAGACACTTTCATCATGTTCAAGAGAAAGTAGGTCAAGAAAGAAGAAAGTTTGGCAACAGGAAAGAAGACGTTTTAATGTCAAGAATGCGTATTGGACATTGTCTGTTAAATCAGTGTCTGTATAGAATGGGGAAGCATGAAACTGGAAAGTGTGACAAATGTGGTCATGCAGAATCAGTAGAACATGTACTTATAGAGTGTGTTGCATATGAAGGAGCAAGATTTCAACTAATTCAAGCTTTAGGATCATTCGGAATAAATAATTTGTCACTTCAGGTTCTGTTAGGAAATAGCCCAAAGCAATCAAGAATATTTCATGAATTAATAATTTTCTTAAAAGAAACAAGACTGATCAATAGAATTTAGGATACAGGTGTAGTAAATAAAGCGGGAATAATTGGCGTTGTATTATAAAAGGAAAAAAGGAAAAAGGGGAAAAGAAAGGAAAAAAAAAAAAAAAAAAGAAAAAATATTATATATATAGATATTTTTTTTTGTTTTGTTTTTGGCTATAGTTCTCAAACTTCCAATCATTATGCGCTCCACACTCCTATCCAGTAGGTGGCGGGAATGCACCATTTAAGTTGGTTTGCCAACCGCCATTAAATTTAAAAGAAGAAGAAAAGAAGAAGAATAACAGTCCTGTGATTGTATGTAGCCATTTTAGAGCTATCTCTCTCCACGGCCTACCTAGCCGTTTCTCTCTTCACATCGCCAGTGTAAAGTTCACCGTGCTGGATTAAAGATCTTGTCATCTTCAGCAAAGCGAGGTATCACTAGAAAATGAGCGTTATTTTCATTTGACCACCATTTGATCAGGCCATCTAATGAGAGCGTTTCAGGAGTGTTTACGCAGTGCCGGGGTCCGTTTAATGAGGTATACATATGTTAGCGCATATCCCTGTCATGATGGGAGACATGTCTGTCAGTGCTAGGTGCTAAGTATAATACAACGCTTGTAAACACTCCGGATCAAACGGAAGTTGTCTAACTCACCTAACGTAAAGCTGTCAGATTTATTCTCTCAGTGTTTAGATGGTAATTGCAGGGGTTGTTTTTGTTTATTTTGTTACACCAGTGTTGTTTTAAGGAGCACAGGCTAGCAGGGTGTTTTGGCTAACTGAACACCACTAACACTGCTTTTCAGTACAGTTTTATGAGTTGTAATCTGCCTTGTTGATCATGTCGTGAGTTTATTAGAGACTAAACCTTAGAGCTACAGTATTTGGGGTGAGGTGCAGACTAAAGCCGGCTAATTTACTCAGAATCCTTCACAGAAATGCGTGTGATAGAATAGTTACAGGGTTATAGTGAGCTGTTTTATACAACTGTTCTGGTCCTCTGATTTGACAGATCGAGTGACCTAACACATCTGCTGGTAGTTATTAGGATGACAGCAGTGTCACTGTTTTTAATAGATCCGTTTTTATTCGAGAATCGAAACGTAGTTGCGTGGCTCCTGCCTGCAGCACGAGCAGAAGAGCGTCGGTGTTTCCAGCAGCGCTCTGAGTATGGGATGCCAAACCTCTCAAAATTAGCAATAAATAAATATACAAAGAAATGTAAAAAAGCAAAAATAAATATATGAAGAAAATAAAAAACATAATTATTTATTCTTTTATTGCCTTGTGTTTTTATTTTTTTCCACATTTATTTTTTCTTTTAATTATTTATACTTGTATTTATTTCCACATTTACATAATTATTTAGATATTTATTTCTATATTTATTTATTTCTAAATTTCTTAATTGTCACATTTATTTATTTCTACATTTCCTTATCTGTAGGGTAATGAGAAGAGCATGCTTTACCTCGGGAATAGTAATCCAGACAGAGTAGGCGAGTTGTAAGCTTTGAGGCCACAGTTACACCTTGTGTTGCCCAAAGGAAATACAAGAAATGTAGCCTACAAGACGGACCTGTTGGTAT